GAACCAGGGCTGGAAAAATACATCTCCTTAAGCATATCTGGACTAAGCATCTAGTATTGCAGAAATAGTAAATAATAGCAAAGAAATGTGTTAGAGTATCTTTTGTTTTAGCTTGTGAATTTTCCTGTGGTAAGAGGGAGGTTTATCTCTGTTTTTGTAACTATGGGCTGGTCTACACTGGGGTGGGGGATCGATCTAAGATACGCAACTTCAGCAACGCTATTCGCATAGCTGAAGTCGAAGTATCTTAGTTCGACTTACCTGGCCGTCCTCATGGCGGCAAGTCGACTGCCACGGCTCCCCCGTCGACTTCGCTTACTCCTCCTGCCGAGGTGGAGTACGGGCATCAATTTGGGGATCGATTTATCACATCTAGACGAGACGCGATAAATCGATCCCCAATAGATGGATTACTACCCGCCGATTCGGCTGGTAGTGTAGACGTGGCCTTTAAAGTTTTGCCTAGAGGGGAAATCCTCTGTGTTTTGAATCTTTTTGTTACCCTGTAAAGCTATCTTCCATCCTGATTTTACAGAAGTGTTTAGAGTTTAGTGTTTAGAGTTTAGAGTGGGGAAGGAACCCTGACAGGAGAGAAAACAGAAGAAGTTCAAACCAGTGAAAAAACCAGTAGGGAAAATCCTTTCACAGAGACTCTTTGGCTCCTGGGTCTCAACTAGAAACATTGTTCAAGAGAGGGACTGAAACTATCAAAAGGAAGGACAAACACCCCAAGACACTTCTCTCTCTCTCTCCCTGTCCACCTCATTGTCTGGATCTGAGAAGACAAAGGAAACAGCTGTTAGACTCTGGGGGAGGAGTCCTGATGTGATCTGCTGGAGTACAGGGTGAGAAAGTTTGTTTTGCAACTCCAGTAGTTTCTTAAGCAGATACTAGGAAGCATTTTATCTTCATTTTTCTTGGAACAATTTCTGACTTTGATGCTTCATTGCTCATAGTCTCTTGAAATTTGTCTCATTGTAGTTAATAATCATGTTTTACTGTTTTATCCAATCCTGGGCAGGACAAGACATACATTTCTGGGGAAAGATCTGGGACTGGGGATGTGCTGGGGTCACCCTGCCAGTATAACCTAGGCTAATGAGACAGAGTGTGGTTTGCATGCTGGAAGGCGGTTTGTGAGCGAGCCTGGTGGGAGTACTTCAGCAAGGCATTGTATGGCACCTGAGGTTGCAAGGCAGGAGAGACTCAACCCCCCAGTGGTCTGGATGTAACAATGGGGTCTAGTGAGTTAAAGCAGGGGGTCTAGGAGCCAGGATTCCTGGGTTCTAATCCTGGCTGTGGGTGGGGAGTGTGTTCTAGTGGGTTAGAGCAGAGGGGCTGGGTGTGAGGACTCTTGGCTTCTATAGACAACTCTGGGAAGGGAGTGAGGTCTGGTGGTTAGAGCAGGGAATTCAATCTCTTTATCTTATCAATAAGAGAGAAAGGTGATGGATAGGGATGCATGAGGACATTCACTGGGAGAAAATACTGGCTACTAAAGGGCTTTTTAATCTACAGGGGAAAGAAACAACAGCTGGAATCATAGAATCATAGAATATCAGGGTTGGAAGGGATCTCAGGAGGTCATCTAGTCCAACCCCCAGCTCAAAGCAGGACCAATCCCCAACTGAATCATCCCAGCCAGGCCTTAAAAACCTCTAAGGAAGGAGATTCCACCACCTCCCTAGGTAACCCGTTCCAGTGGTTCACCACCATCCTACTGAAATGTTTTTTTCCTAATATCCAACCTAAACCTCCCACACTGCAACTTGAGACCATCACTCCTTGTTCTGTCATCTGCTACCGCTGAGAACAGTCTAGATCCATCCCCTTTGAAACCCCCTTTCAGGTAGTTGAAAGCAGCTATCAAATCCCCCTTCATTCCTCTCTTCTGCAGACTAAACAATCCCGGTTCCCTCAGCCTCTCCTCATAAGTCATGTACTCCAGTCCCCTAATCATTTTTGTTGCCCTCTGCTGGACTCTTTCCAATTTTTCCACATCCTTCTTGTAGTGTGGGGCCCAAAACTAGCCAGTACTCCAGATGAGGCCTCACCAATGCCGAATAGAGGGGAATGATCATGTCCCTCAATCTGCTGGCAATGCCCCTACTTATACAGCCTAAAATGCCATTAGCCTTCTTGGCAACAGGGACACACTGTTGACTCATATCCAGCTTCTCATCCACTGTAACCCCTAGGTCCTTTTCTGCAGAACTGCTGCCTAGCCACTCTGTCCTTAGTCTGTAGCAGTGCATGGGATTCTTCCGTCCTAAGTGCAGGACTCTGCCTTTGTCCTTGTTGAACCTTATCAGATTTCTTTCGGCCCAAGCCTCTAATTTGTCTAGGTCCCTCTGTATCCTATCCCTACCCTCCAGCACATCTACCACTCCTCCCAGTTTAGTGTCATCTGCAAACTTGCTGAGAGTGCAGTCCATGCCATCCTCCAGATCATTAATGAAGATATTGAACAAAACCGGCCCCAGGACCGACCCTTGGGGCACTCCGCTTGAAACCGGCTGCCAATTATACATGGAGCCATTGATCACTACCCGTTGAGCCCGATGATTTGGCCAGCTTTCTATCCATCTTATAGTCCATTCATCCAGCCCATACTTCTTTAACTTGCTGGCAAGAATACTGTGGGAGACCGTATCAAAAGCTTTGCTAAAGTCAAGGAATAACATGTCCACTGCGTTCCCCTCATCCACAGACCCAGTTATCTCATCATAGAAGGCAATTAAGTTAGGCTGATCACTTTCCTCTCCTCTAAGTGCTTCAGAATTGATTCCTTGAGGACCTGCTCCATGATTTTTCCAGGGACTGTGGTGAGGCTGACTGGCCTGTAGTTCCCCCGATCCTCCTTCTTCCCTTTTTTAAAGATGGGCACTACATTAGCCTTTTTCCAGTCATCTGGAACCTCCCCCGATCGCCATGAGTTTTCAAAGATAATGGCCAACGGCTCTGCAATCACATCCGCCAACTGCTTTAGCACCCTCGGATGCATTGCATCTGGCCCCATGGACTTGTGCTTGTCCAGCTTTTCTAAATAGCTGAAACCAGATAAATACAAATTGGAAATAAGGCACCGCTTAGGGAGATCAGCCATTAGAACACACTCCTAAAGGAAGAGGTCAATTCTCTATGTGAAAACAGGGTTAAAGGGTTTAAATATAGGCCTCTCAGGCTACGTCCTTACTACGGTGTGTGGGGGGGGTCGATTTAAGATATGCAAATTCAGCTACGCGAATAGCGTAGCTGAATTCGACGTATCGGAGCCGACCTACCCCGCTGTGAAGACGGCGGCAAATCGACCTCCGCAGCTCCCCCGTCAACGGCGCTTACTCCTACCTCCGCTGGTGGAGTACAAGCATCGATTCGGGGATTGATTGTCACATCCCGACGAGACGCAATAATTCGATCCCCGAGAGATCGATTTCTACCCACCGATTCAGGCAGGTAGTGTAGACGTAGCCTCAGTTGTAAGAAACAGAGCAACTGTCATGTTAAGTCTTAGCTTAATATCGCAGAACCTGTAGAAGCAGGGCTCACGTTAGAAGTGGGTGGGAAGATAGCAGAGCAGGGGACTGGACTCGATGACCTCTCGAGGTCCCTTCCAGTCCTAGAATCTATGAATCTATGAATCTATGAATCTAGAGTCAGCGTGACTCAGCCTTGAGATAGCGATGTTTTGATAACAGACGTGAGAAAATACAGGAATGGACAGGACATAACATAAACAAACTGCAGATGTTTTTAACATGCATGCCACTAAAATGTATAAATGTTTGTGTGATATTGCTTGTACTTTGAAGAAACTGAGGCAGAGATGCTCTCTGCCAGCTGTGTTCTTCCCTTGCAATTGCATGTCCTGATTAAAGCTGTGTCTGATTTTGCTGCTTCCAACCGGAGAGTGAGGATTTAATTTTCTTCCACATCCGTCTCCTGATGTCTTCTGATCTGGGCTGGATCATTACTGGTAAGGGGCCTGGGCACTGCGGAGACGGAAATGGGACATTTTCCTGCTCTATCTCTGGGAGCTATCACTGTGGGTAGTCCCATGGTGGGAGGGGTAACCACAGCTCACCCAGGAACTAAGAACAAGTTCTAACAACTCCAGAGACATTAACACCCCCCGCCCAGGAGATGCTCCCAAATATTGGTTCAAACTGGATTCTCCCAAGATGAGCCTACAAAGAAAGGATGGTGGATAAATAGCCTGGTTTTCAATAGGCTTGGGGCTTAGTTGGTTCTTCCCCAGCTAACGGAGAGGAGCTCCAGTCCATGGAGGGCCCCAATCCAGGTCCCAGCAGAGAGGCCAGGCCAAGGATCTGAGGGCTGGAAAGACTGACACTGGTCAGAGCCAGGGTGGGGGTGGGTGGGTTGGTCTCCAGTGAGCCTATTAGCATGTGTGGAGGTTCTTTTCTTTCTTTGATATGTTTCCCCTGTAGTGCTTCCCCCTCAGGACTCAGTGGGCTTGGTTAGAAAGTGCTGTGTGGTCACTGGAAACCACAAGCAATTGTGTTGTTTATAGACTCTGAGGGGAAGGCAAAGCAAACCGGTATAGACGGAGGGACTCGCCGGAGAAGTCCCAGTGAAGGCAGGAGACTTTGCAGCCTGGAAAATCCCCACACAGGAGGGTGAGAGATGTGCGCCTCCACCCAAGAGAGGTGACGGCTGAGGAGCTGGGAGCCTAATGCAGGGACCCTTGCTGGATCACAGAGCGGGAAATAGAACCACAGGAGCTCCGAACTGAGAGGGGGAAGCAGGAAAAGGTGTGTGGATGGTCCACAGAACAAGGGCCAGTGGCATTTGTGACCATGGAGGCGAATAGTTGGGCTGTGGAGGGGAAGAGCCCAAGACTGTGGTCGCTCCAGGATTTCCTGTGGTGGGTGGGAGCCCGTGACTTCTCAGAGATCATGGGAGGGAGGGAGGGAGGGAGGGAGGGCCGAGGGATGAGCAATGCATCCTGTCATGGGATTGTCCATCTCGTGGGACGGACAAAGCAGAAGGGTCAGTCACCCTTCTGGAGGGAGACCCGGCTGGTGGCTGAGCTCAGAACCCAGCTCCCAGCCCCAGAGGGACCAGTTCAGCATGGT